TTTACGGTTTGGTTGCACAAGTGTAATTACACAGTTAAATTAAATTTTAAATAAATTAATTATCAAAACTTAAAAGTTAATATAATAAATATATTCCTTATAAATTTTTATAAGTATAAATAATATTATATTTGATATTTAAGATATTTTTTTTCATGAATATACATTAATTAGTAATCATATATTTATAACTAATATTGTAAAAATAGTTTATATATATATGTGTGTGTGGTAAAAATAAAATATTTTTCTATTTTTGACTCAGCAGGAGATGATACCAATAATTGCTATCAAGAAGAATACTTAAGTACTTTAATACCAAATGGCCTTCTACCACACATGTTTGTTGTCAAGTTTATTAATTCTTACATATGTTAGTGTCACCATATATATAATATACTAAGTTAAAATTGATCTTGCATTGCATATATATTGATTTTGAAAAAAAAAATATGCCCATCATGCTACTGAAAAAATTAGATCCGCCGAATAGTTTATGTAATGGCACATAGATGGTATATAGAAGTTTTGACAATAACATAATACATGGGAAAATTATGATACTGGTCAATATACTTCTAAGTATATTTTTATCCTCGAATTCAACTTTCGTCTTCCGAAACTAAAGAATATCCTTTTAAATTTGTGTGAAAATAATTTTAGGTATGTTTATATTTTACAAGTATGATAAATAAAGCACAAGAACAAACATCCTAAATATTAAACTATATTTATTGCAATATATTTTCTTGCACGAACAACTATATGTTGCACTTTCAAGAGTAATATCAATATTGACAACAAGAGTTCTGGTTATGGCAGAGCAACCAAAGCATTAGAAAGAAACATACACAAAAAACACATCATCTATAAAGAAGTGTCCAGTAAGATACCATCACATCAAATATTTTTAAACTGTAATACGTAATTATCTAACTAACATGACTAAATTGATCATTTGTGTAAGTTCTAATGATGTCCTTTCATTTTGAATTCACGTACTATGCTAATTTAATAATATTTTTTGGCTTTTAAATGATTTAAATATTTAAACCATCACATGTCATTAACGTGCAACGCACATTTATGGATACTAGTATACTAAAAAAACACAGACACAATTCTCGTGACCAAACTCTCTTAACTAATAGAATATTAAGCAATTATTTTCATTTATATTGTTAAAAGAACATAGAAAATTGATCGACGGCTACGCTTAACAGATTCGATTAATTAAATGCATTCAATTGACGATATAATTGCGTAAGTATATTGGATTCTCTAAAGCCACATACTTAATTGTTAATTATAGTATCAATTTCCCCCAATTATAATAATTTTCGCAATTAGTGGGATTTGACAGCTTTCACTTAAGCAATTGTGAACACACCGCCCTTCATAATTAAAATTTCTAATCCTATTAAATTTATATAGTGTCATTTAACATCCTTAATTATCGCTAAATCCATTTATAATATTCATGTGAACTTCTTTAATGATTGAGGAAATAATACAAGTAACACCTTAAAGGGGAAAAACTAAAATATGTAGTTAAAATTTCAGAACTAATGAAAAGTAAAATCTAATAAAACAAAATGGGACGAAGAAGTTCAGAAGAAAGACATAATAAAGTATAGAAACATAGATTTCACTTCTTATAAGATTTTGTTTCTTTTATTCTTGAAAGGAAACTTGTAATATTTCAATTTTTTTTACCTCCCTATATTTAATGCTAATTAAGAAACTCCCTCCAATTAAGGATTTTTCCTTCACAAACATAATCTCTCTCCTAAGATAGTTTAATGCATTGATAATTTTAGGCTATTTTTGAAGGTTTCAGAAATTTCTAACTACAACTCATTTTGCTCCTTGACTTCTAGGTTAAGTGGACTATTTCATTAAACAAGTTTAACATTTCATTAAGTAGTTAACTTGAGTTGTCCAAATTAGCAGCATTGTAAAGAAAAAGAAATGCTGCCAAAATATTTACTTTAAAAATAATGCTTATTAAAAAAAGGCAAGTTAGTGCACAAAATATTTTGCATTCACACAGGGTCTCGGAAAGAGCTGCACCCCAAAGGGTATGATGTAGACAACTTACTTTAATGCAAGTATTAGTGGTTGTTTCCACGGCTCGAACCCGTGGAATAATGCTAATTGTATGGAATAAATTCGCTTTTTCTTTCAGAAATGATAAATCAAAATGTGAAATTAATTTATTACAAAAAACGCCTAATTAGTATCGAACCCGCTGTAATATTATAAGAAAAAATAGATAAAACCAAAAAAGAAGTAAAAAGATGTGAACGGAGAATATATATCATTTCCTATTTCATGCACCTATTTCCCTCCCAAAAATTAATAATTGTCCAAATTAGTAGCATTGTAAACAAACTGTTAAATCCCATGTTTCTTCCCCCACTTTCCTCCCTCTTTCACTTTCACACACACACACAGTATAATAATTCATTTCACACTCATATTCCCTCCTTATAAATAAACTTCAACACTCTTTCTACAACTCAAATATTCAAAATCTTTAGGAAAAAAATGGCTTCTTCTTTCTCTCTAATTCCCTTTCTTGCTTTGTTTCTTGTTTCTTTTTCTCATATTGCTCTTTCATTATCATCAAAGTCTTTCTTGCCTTTTCATAAGCCTATAATAAACCAGAAAAAATTCCCAGTAACAATGGCTGAAAAATTTATCAGACAACTTAACTTGTTTCCTAAACATAATATCAATATTATTTCTTCAAAGGATAATATTGCACTAGCCAATGAAGAGAGATTATTTGAAAAGAAATTGAATTTACCTTATCTTGGTGATTCTGGTGCAACTGTCCAAGACTTGGGTCATCACGCTGGTTATTTTCGTCTTGCACATACTAAAGCTGCAAGGTATTGATTTTATATTATGATTATATTTGAGAAAATGTCATTGTATAGCCGTTATCAAAATAATAGCCGAAAAAGTACATATTTTTTGTATATATATATATAGATATATATATATCCTATATGTTATACACAAAAGTTATACAAATTTTGTACCCTTTTTTGGCTATCGAATGTAAATAGTTTCTGGCGCAGACTAAAAGTGATATTTGCCCATTATATTTCAATGTCATTATTGAGTTTCTTTGATAGGAAGTGTTAGATTAACGGTAAAGTTGTCTCTGTGTGACCTATAGGTCATGGGTTTGAGCAGTGGAAGCAGTCACTAATGCTTCTATTAGGATAGGTTGTTTACATCATATTCCTAGGGTTACGGCACTTCTCCGGACACTGCGGAATGCTTTATCACCGGGCTTGTCTTTTATTGTTGAGTTTTTGTTTAATTGTTTTATTAATGCAAATGTTTTGTTTTGTTGTAGGATGTTCTATTTTTTCTTTGAATCGAGGAGCAACAAGAATGATCCAGTAGTGATATGGTTAACAGGAGGGCCAGGATGTAGCAGTGAATTGGCTTTGTTTTATGAAAATGGACCTTTTAAATTATCTGACAACATGTCTCTTGTCTGGAATGATTTCGGCTGGGACAAGGTTCTTGTTCTTTTCCTTTTTTTTTTCTTTTAATACTTTGTATATTTCGTTACTTAATATAAACAATTCATTTCAAGAAAAGTTGGGTTAGATATTTTGGATACGATAAAGAGCAAGTTGTTATATTAAACTTTTTTCAATCATGTAAAGTCTCTTTTTACCAACTAACTTATCTTCTTTGACGTTTTGCTCTTCATTAGTTGTGACTTAGTAGAAATTTTTATGAATTCAAAAGTAGTTCAACTCTTACTAACTTATATGACTTTTTTGTGCTAATTCTTCATTAGTTAAAAATATGAATAGTACTCATGTTAATTATTGTTAATTGTCAGGTCTCAAACCTTATATACGTTGATCAACCAACGGGAACTGGTTTCAGCTATAGTACTGATGATAGTGACGTTCGTCACAATGAAACGGGTGTAAGCAATGACCTTTATGACTTCTTACAGGTTTGCTCCCTTTTTTCTTTAATTTTTTTTGTTTGCTGTACTTTGAAATGGTAGATTAATGCTATTCTAAATATATGATGTATTTGACAATAGGAATTCTTCAAGGCACATCCTGATTATGTAAATAATGATTTTTACATTACTGGAGAATCATATGCTGGGCATTATATTCCTGCATTTGCTTCTCGTGTTAACCAAGGAAACAAAAACAAAGAAGGAATTAACATAAACCTCAAGGTACCTTTTATCTTTAATAGTATGTCATTCTTCAGTATTTTTCAACTTGTTGTTGTTGGACTTATGTGTATGCCTATTTGATCAGGGATTTGCCATTGGTAATGGACTAACCAACCCAGAAATCCAGTACAAAGCCTACACTGACTATGCATTGGACATGAAATTGATCAATCAAACTGATTACGACGCCATAAATGAATTATATCCACAATGTCAACAAGAAATTAGGCTTTGCGGTAACTCTTTATCCCACTTAGTGTTTATGTTAAACTGTCAGTATATCGAAGTTAAATTCAAAAAATAAAAAACAAACCTTTGAATCTCTTTCCCTTATCCTCAAGAACCTTTCCTTAAATGCAATAGAAAATATTCTTTACATGGTTGGCGAATATATTTGTAGGAAAAGGTAGTGATGATGCTTGCTTGAATGCATTTGGTCGTTGCACAAACATCTTCAACAGTATAATGGACGTTGTGGGCGATAAAAATGTAAGAATGCAGAACTTAATACTTTCTTTTTCAATGAGACAATGGTGTTATATAACTATAAACACGTTTTGTTTCTAACCATTACATGGATTTGTGACCTTAACCTGCAGTACTATGACATCCGCAAGATCTGTGAGGGGAACCTCTGCTATGACTTCTCGGGAATGGAAACTTACCTCAACGATGACCAAGTTAAGCAAGCCCTTGGTGTTCCCAACAGCATTGACTTTGTATCGTGTAGTTCTACAGTTTATCAGGCAATGGAGACGGACTGGATGAAGAATCTTGAAGTAGGTATTCCTTCACTTCTTGAGGATGGTGTCAATCTACTCATTTACGCTGGAGAGTATGACCTTATCTGCAACTGGCTTGGTAAGCTTCATTCACCTGTGACAGAAATAGATTCATATAATAATCTAAAAGGTACGAGCTAATGACTAAACTATTGTTTCTTGACATGGACAGGGAACTCAAACTGGGTGCATGCAGTGGAGTGGTCTGGGCAGAATAACTTTGCGGCTGCACCATCTGTTTCTTTCACAGTAGATGGTGAGGAGAAAGGAATTCAAAAGAGCTATGGACCTCTGACTTTCCTCAAAGTCAATGATGCAGGTCATATGGTGCCAATGGACCAACCTAAGGCAGCACTCGAAATGCTCCAGAGGTGGACTACTCAAGGCAAATTGTCCTAAGAAGATCATCTTGCTCACATGTGAAGCATCAATTTAAGAACCACACTTAACTGAAACAGATTTAACATTTTTCCAGCTTATAGTTCCATCAAAACATAGAAAATCATGTAGATACATTTCACCTGTTTATGAAATGTTTATATCTTTGAGGTGAATATATTCTTCTAAAATTGGATTAAAAATAATATATAGTGAAGCACACTGTTTGCTATTGAGATTTGTTATCCCCCTACCTTGGATTGTGCATCGCCCACTGTCGAAATAATTAATCATGTAAAACCTTTTGCATCTAAGATCTGCCAAGCATTTTTCACAAAAGGCTATTGGGGCAACAAACAGTTTTCTTGGTATAAGAAAAGGGCATACACAGGCAAATTCAACAAGAACTGAGAAAACATCTCAGCTATTCTGATTCATTATCAATCTTCAATATTCTTTTGCAATTTCCTCATGTGGAAGGAGGTTAAACAGAACAGCTAGACCAATATAACTAATCTATTTTTTAGCTTAACCAAGATCAAGAACTGGTTGTTTCAGTATTTTTCCCCAAACCTCAGGACGTAAGAACACTTTAAACCCTGAAATATTGATCAATACTTACAAAATTTTCATCCTTTTTTCCCCTCTTGTTGGTGAAGCTCAAGCAGTACGAGCACAACAAATTAATTGTCACAGCTAGGTGTATAACTTTATATAGTTTCTCTTGATAACCTATATTAACACATAGCTGATCGCAAAAACGAATACACAGCTGATCCAATGCCCTAACCCCTCTGACTCTGGTACAAGCTGTATTGACATACCAACTTAAAAGGAAATTTTACAATCAGATATTTGGACTAGTTTAAAAAACTGTGTGCTTGTCCCCTGCACCTACTGTGTTTTTTATTAAATTACCACCAAGATGAATACATGGCTGATCTAGGGCCCTATCTGTCTGGCTCAGATACAGACGTTTATCGACATTATACCCAACTTAAAAGAAAATTCTCTAGCTTGAAAGACAATATACTTATCACCTGCATTTCCTATCGGTTAAACCAGTTTAGTTACATCAAGATTGTTTTTTTTTTAAATCTAGATATCCTCTCTTTGAATAATTGAATAGCACATATAGCATGGGGCAGTTAGATGGCTCACTAAACAAATTTTGGGCTGCTCTCAAGATTGACTTCACATTCATTTAAAGCGAATATTTTCTGAAGAGACGTGCCCCATGATCTGCCAAGCTCAAACATGTGGTTAAAGGAGAAAGCTAATGCTTGACAAAAGATGCATTCATCTGTACACAAACATTAAGGCTGCTCAAGAAAAATTTCATACACAAACACCTGAATACAATAGCTACGAATCACCTTTTGCTCGATATAATTCCCTCAAGGTCTCAATCACAGGCTGAAAACCTGTCCGCAATGGCAAAACTGATACCACTCTTAGATGTCGTGCATTCCCATTCTTTGGTTGGGACAAGGTGACTTTCAACATTTCTCCTTCCAAAGCTCTACCCGCAGCTGCAGCTGCATAAAAACATTCTCACATCAGTCAGAAGAATTAAATCCTCTTCATAATGGCACACGAAAACATCAGAAGAATAATTGGATATAAGATTCTTGGACCGCCTTTGTCAGCCTAACGAAACACTTTCTCCATCCCAGTTTTGACTGGACACAAAGATATTAATTTGATTTATGTACTATGTTTAGCAATAATGGAAGAAAATACTAAAATAGTGGTTAAAGTTTAGTTTGAAGGAGAAAAATCTCAACAGAAATATGAAATTTGAATAGATTAATGAATTTGCAATAAAATCGTGTCAACCATTTTAGGACGTCTCAAAATGAAAAGACTGTCGTATAAATTGGGACGGAGAGAATAAGTTTCATCAGAATTTTCAATTTCTACAAAAATGTTTTCATATTTTGTATTTCTTTCTTTTAAAAAAAAAAAAGTCAATACTTGGAATGCAAGTTTAGTGATGTGACTCATGAAGCTGAAGTGGAAGTGAAGCTTGATACCCAAGTCATCCCTAAGAGAGGAAGTCTCAAGTATCTTGGGTCAATAATCCAAGGTAATGGAAAGATTGACAAGGGTGTCACATGTCGTATTAGAGTGGGGTGGATGAAATAGAGGCTCGCATCAGGCGTCTTGTGTGATAAGAATGTGCCACCAAGATTTAGAGGTAAGTTATATAGAGTGGTTGTTAGGTCGACTCTGTTGTATGAGGCGAGAGTGTCGGCCAATTAAGAACTCGCATGTCCAAAAGTCGAAAGTAGTGGAAACGAGGATGCTGAGATTGATATGTGGGCATACTTGGAGAGATAAAGATTAAGAATGAGGATATTCGAGATACGGTGGGAGTGGCTCCCGTGATGGACAAGATGCGGGAAGTGAGAAGGTGTGAGAGGTCGGCCATGGTGGCTAAGGAGAGGTAGAGGTAGGCAAAAAAAGCAATGGGAAGAGGTGATTAAGGCATGACATGGCACATATGTCACCAAGATATGTCACCAAGCAATGAGAGATAGAGGCTCGCATCAGGCGTCTTGTGTGATAAGAATGTGCCACCAAGATTTAGAGGTAAGTTATATAGAGTAGTTGTTAGGTCGACTCTGTTGATGAGGCGAGAGTGTCGGCCAATTAAGAACTCGCATGTCCAAAAGTCGAAAGTAGTGGAAACGAGGATGCTGAGATAGATATGTGGGCATACTTGGAGAGATAAAGATTAAGAATGAGGATATTCGAGATACGGTGGGAGTGGCTCCCGTGATGGACAAGATGCGGGAAGTGAGAAGGTGTGAGAGGTCGGCCATGGTGGCTAAGGAGAGGTAGAGGTAGGCAAAAAAAGCAATGGGAAGAGGTGATTAAGGCATGACATGGCACATATGTAGCTTACTGAGAGATAAGAGAGAATGGAGGTCGAGAATTAGAGTAAAAGGTTAGCAGATAGTCGAGCTTTTACTTTTTCAAACCTGTAGTATCATCATTGTTCGTGGATTTTTAGATCTCTACTACTACCGTTTGTCTCTTTTGCTTCGATTATCTTATTACTATGTTGTTGTTACTGCTTCTTGTTATTGCTCCATATTTCTTTTCAACTATGTTGTGACTATACTTTTCCCAAGTCTATCGGAAACCACCTCTCTATCTACACAAGAGAGGGATAAGGTCCGCATACATTCTACCCTCCCCCGAACCCACTTATGGGATTACACTGGATTTATTACATAACTACCAAAGCAAATGGGAAGCAAATTATAACTCTTAACATGATGATAGAAGCTAGGGAAAAATTGCATTTTTTATTTACTACTCCCTCTGTCCCAATTTATGTGGCACACTTCCTTTTTTGGGTTGTCCCAAAAAGAACGACATCTTCCTATATACAAAAATAATTTAACTTTAGACTTCTTGGTTCCCTTAACTAGATGATTTATAGCAACACAAATGTCCATTACTTGTTTTAGACCACGAATTTCAGAAGTTCTTCTCTTCTTTTTTAAACTTCGTGTCCTAGTCAAAGAAGTCACATACAGTGGGTCGGAGGGAATACTACTTATCTCAAGCGTAGATGAAAGTGACATTGTTAACTGCAAAATGTAATGCAACTGTAACAAGCTGAAGAAATGGGAAATAACAAAAAATATGGAAATTAATTTAAGTTTACCCGCAAAAGGATGAGTCTTGGCAAAATCAAAGAACTCATCAGCAGAGCAACCAAACAAAACCCTAGCCGCTCTATCAAACATTATCACCACAACCACCTTTTTGTCTGTAGCAATAGACATCTGCAAAAACCCAAAATTTCAACCAAAAAAAATAAAAATAAAAATTTAAAACATTGTAAAATTTTATTTAAACAATCAGGTCACTTATAAGGTGATACAGGTAAACATTAACTGATTACCAAGTAAAATTGATAAGTAACTTGTTATAACAACATTATACACTGATAGTGTATCTTCACACTGTGAGTACATATACTCACAATCAGGTCACTATAAGGTAAAAAAACTCAGAGGTGAATAATTTTTTTTTAAAAAAGGAAAGAAATTACTTACAAGGACACGAAAGAGGCGTTTGGAACCGGAAGGGGCAGGGTTGAAGAAGCCATTATTGTTAAAGTTGCAGTATTTGCAAAAGGGAAGTGAAGAATTGGGAAAATGGGTATTGGGAGAAGGGTCAGAGAGAGTTTTTTCACAAACTGAGCAGACTGTGTAGTAAAGGTTGCTGTGATCAATGGCTACAACCATGCAATTTATTGTTGCTGGTTTGTCTATTTCTGCAAATGGTCTTTTCGTGGGATTTGTTTGGTTATTGGAGGTATCAGGATTCATGTTCGAATGGGTTGCGGAAGATGAAAGCTGCTGAGTAAATAGTTGAATCTGGAATGGCGTGTCGGGACTTTTCCGGATACTAGTCGTGCGCCCGTTGCTATTTCAATTCGTATAAAGTTTTTAAAAATTAGAAAATAAAAGTTAAAGAAAAAGTGTAAATTCTTATAAATAATGATATCCTATTTAGCTAACTCATTAAGTAAACTCTTATGCAGCATTAAAAGTACTCAATCATCTCTATATTCATATAAAAATTTATTCCACTTATATAATTTTATTCGATTTCACAAGTTATTATGTTTTTATTTATATACTTCCTTCTTAGTTTTTAGGCACGTAATTTATGTGTGTACCATATATCAATAAATTTTAAAAATTAATAAATAATGCATTTGGATAACAAAATAAAATTAAAAAGTGTACGTTTATGAAAATAATGAAAGTTAATTCCATTTAGCTAGCTCAATCAAGGAAGAAATATATTTCATTATGAATTTTGGCGTTGTCTCTAATTATCCCAGTTATCTTATTTTCTTTTATACTCTTAATCATTTTTTGTTATTAATTGTTGAGTGTAGTTTTCAAATTTTATACATAAAAAAATCCTTGGAGAGAAAGCTATTTTTGTGTGTGATATAAAAATTGTACAAATATAATATCAACTGAATTAGAGCCATGTTATATTATTCAAAATTCTTAGCTTTGTAAACTTTTTAATATCAAGACTAACATAGTTCGAATAAGATAAGATTTAATAAATAAGTTATTAGTTTCTATTTTTACTTTTGGATATGAAACCAATTTTGTTTCAAAACCCCTACCTTTCAACTTCTTGATATTGATGTCCAAAATATCAGGACTTTCGAATAGTTCAATACAAAAGATTTAATAAGCAATAATTCTTTATTGATAGCAAAGTATTAAATATTATAAAATAATTAAATAATAAATTAATCAACGTGTAATATATATTTAAAGGGAAAAGACGACCAATATATAGATATGGATAAATCAATATTAATCAACATGGTTGCAACATAAATTGCATTACTGTATATACATTTCGTGTTGTGGCATATGATGAAGTCATTGTGATTTTCGATATTGTTTGAGTTAAGTGTAAAATTGTGCAATAGGTCTTTTTTTGTTTTTTTGTTTATCTGATTAAAAAATTTTAAAAAATCCTATCTCTTATTTCACTCTGTTATATCGCATGCTATTTCTGAATGATTGAGTTGATCGATAACATATTTGAATAAAATATTTAATAGTATATCCACATATATTTGTTTAGTAAAGATGGTGAATTTTGACTTCAAAACTAATACATATTGATTAATAAGTTCAAATATTAAGTATACAATTATCTTTAAACTTTTAAAAAAGTGTGAATATATATAAGTAAGTAACTTGTTTCTGCAGTGAACTAAAACTAATTTAAGCTAATTTTAATCTCCTAAAGAGTCATAAAATGAACGTGAAAGATATTAATTATACTTATGTTAGTACTTCAAACAAGGAAATAATTTATACGATGTAAAACTTAATCGATTATAAATTTCTAAATATTAGGAGTTTCTACCGAGTTCAAATAAGGAAGGATTTAAGGTCCAAAATTTTAGGTGATTTCAAATTCCTAACTATAGAAAAATAATGAAATGACTATTTTATCTAGTGTGAAATTAATCTTTAAAGGGTAAAAGGCGAACGACATTGCTAAGGGCCTTCGTGCTTTTGATATAGTATAGATTCGAAAGTTGTTTTACCAACATCAACTTATAATACGTACTGCAAATGTATAAGTCGCAATAAAGAATTGCAATTTATATATTGACTACTATATCAACAAATCCAAAATTTTCATAAGTGGAATCTGGGAAGGGTACAATATATGAAGTCTTACTCTCTATCTTGAAAGGCCAGAGAGGTTATTCTGGATAGACCCTCGGCTAAAGAAAAGATAAAAAGAATTAGTTGCAACAAGTAGTAACGATTGAAGCCAAGATAACAATTAAACGATTAAGCGATAGGTAGTAATAGCAATCTATATATAAATATAAGGCGTAATGGCTTCCTAGCCACTTAAACTTGTAGGGCTTTGAAAAACCGATACATAAACTTGCACCTTTCCCATTTGAACACTTCAACTTGATGTAATAAATATTAATAAACACATTTGACCGTTGACTGTGCCTATGTGGAAGCGTCGCAGCTGACATGGCTAAATTATGTGCAAATCACGCTGCAAAAGCGCGTGGATAATATTGTTTTTATTAAAAAAAATATGAGAACTGAAATAAAATACAAATGACACAGGAAAATCCCTTTCCCCTTCTAAATTCCCCTCCCTCCCACCTCTGTCGTCTTTCCCTTCTAAATTCAAAGTCAATAAGCCAAAATTTACTGAAGAGATTACCAAACCTAGAAAGGCCAAACATGTGGATGATCAAGGGAGGTGAAGATGTCATGGATTTTGGAGAGACGCTGCTCATAATCTCGCAAATCAATGAAATTGCCTTTTTTGAAATACCTTTACGAGCACGAGTCCTTCATCGTGTTTACACAAAATTGATTTCAAAAAGCGACCTCGACCTAGAACTTCTTTAAGCACCAGATTGTATGACGACGGCAAGTCGTGGAGGTAGTACCCATCGCCGACGCTTGTGTCGTTTTCGCTATCTTATTCCCTATTTTTACTCTTTCTTCTCCCTCTTTTTTTTGTCTTTGTTTTGTTCGACAATGAGTTTCGAGTTGTTTTTAGCTATTGTCTATTGTTTTGGGGGTTTTGGCAATGGGCTTGGAGAAGAATCAGTCGGAGTTCCGGCGAGGCTACTGTGAGAATTTGGGATGAGATGTATGAGAAAGAATGTAATTTGGCTATAATTGCATGAGGCTAATAAAATCCTTAGATAACCTAGAACATACACGTGTCAACAAAGTGTGACTGAATGAATGATGTGGCTATACAAAATATAAATTAAATCCATGTCAGCATCGATTGAGCAACACACACCATCACAAGTATTTATTAGTAGTCATATTTTCAAGTAAAGATGTTCAAATGGGAAACCCAAGAGTTCATATATCGGTTTTACAAACGGATGCAAGTTTAAGTGGCCAGAAAGCCATTTCGCCTGAATATAAAGCTGGGAAAAATATCAATGACGTGGCATCATTCCTAGACCACAAAATGTGATTTATCTTTTTTGCTGTTTTTTTTTCTTTTTTCTCCTATTTTGTTGTAAAAACTGCTTTATTCAACTTAAATATCCAAGAAGGAATGTGACGGTTGCAATTGTTAATGTATAGGAATGCAACGATTGCAACTCTTAATTAATGAAAATAATAGTGATAATTAAGATTACAAACAGATACTACCTTACAGTTACAAGTAGCAATTAAAGTATTAACAATTGCAATACTACACTCTTCCTCTTTAAACTCCATCTTTCGCTTCGTTTTTTGTGTGTGAAAGGTAAAGCTCAATAATATACTTACACTCAGCAAAGAAGAATTCATTTAAACTTGGAATTGATCTTCAAGAGAAGTCAATGTATAATTTGGGAGTTAAACTAAGGAGGACGATGAAGATTCTTATTATGCTCTTTGTGTAAACCAAAATTTCACAGGTATTAGAATTGTAACCTTTTTTGTTTCTTCTTTCCTTTTCTCATATTGTGCCTGTTTAGTGTATTTTTATTCTTGCGATGCGAAATTCCTTGTACTAAATTAATTGGGCTATAATTTCCATTTGTTCAGTCCTTGGGGTTAAAATTTTATTCTAATTTTGACTTCAGCAAATTACTTGACATGACAAGGTACCCGATTGACAAATATGTTGATGTTTTCAACTTTTATCTACAGAGATTGAAGCACTTTGTCACGATCCAAAATCTACTAAAAGTCGTGATGGCGCCGGACACCGCTGTCAGACAAGCCAACCATAAATACTTAATTAAATTCTCTTTTTAATAATTTTGAAAACTATGATTTTCATTCACTTTAACAAATAAAAGATAATCTTTACAGAATAATTAAAAATGTTTACAATTTAGAATTGAACAATCCCATAACCATCCCAAAATCTGGTGTCACAAGTGCATGAGCAGTTTTTAGGAAATAATATAATACAACAACTTTCCGGAATACAAATTGGACAAAAAAGAAAATACAGTACAATACTCTGAAGGAGACTCTGCTGGCTGCGGGTCGTCTCGAGAGGTGCAACTCACCTAAGTCTCGGTATCAACCATGCTGCTGCGCACAACTAGGCCACTAGACATACATGTGTCTGCGCAACAAAAATGCACAACAAATGTAGTATGAGTATAAAAATAACATGTACCTAGTAAGTATCCCGTCTAACCTCGAAGAAGTAGAGATGAGATGTCGACTTCGACACTTACTAGTGGTCCAATAATAATATATTAATAATGCGAATAATTATGGATTTATTAAAAATGGCAGTAAACTCAAGTAAGTCAAGAAACAAGTAAACATTCCTTTTTATATTTAGAAATCTCCAAATTCATAATCCATTATTTATCAATTTATCTCAGACCAGGGAGCCAATATCAATTTGTAAATCTCAAGCAAGCATTACAAGCATGCGCAAATTATGCTGAGGTCGTACGGACTGATCCAACAAATATTTAAAATGTGCACTGCCAGAGGGTCAAATGGCGCAAACCATAGATGCATCTATTTAATCTGCCGAGGTGTTCGTCCCGTTCCAAAATTAAACACACACAGATAGTCAATCAAGAAGTCATCAGGGAACAATTATCCAAGGAAATGAAAATTTCTCTTTTAACAGTTAAAAAAATGAGGTTAAACCTTTTAGAAAATTCATTTACTAATTCGATATGATTTAAGCAATTAAAATTGTCAATAAGATTATAAATATTTCAGGTATAATATGCTTTTGCGTCCTAGACTACCCGAACTTAAACATAATAGTAGCTACGCACGGACTCTCGTCACCTCGCGTGTACGTAGCCCCCACAAATAGAAGCACATAACCAATTATTTCACCTATGGGGGCAATTCCCTCTTAAAAGGTTAGAAAGGAGACTTACCTCGCTCTGAAG